GTAAGTCTGATTTGTGAATTCTAGTACCTGAGCTGAGGGTGCTGATGAAAGCTTTTCCTAAAACCAAAGGTTTGCCACAATGGTAATTGTTTGTTTTCTTGGCCTAAGACAAGACACACAATCATGATGAAAGGTGTAAGAATTGTATCTTAAATGGTAACTAAACAAAATAAGCTTTCTACCACCAGGATTCCTGTTTTTTGTGTTTTTTGTTTTTGTTTTTTAAGTAATCATGGCTCAAATCTTTCAGAACTGTTATTTTAATCCCAACTCTAGTAGAGTGTTCTCTAGAGTGGGCCACACAAAACAATCCATTGGGGTGCAATAAAAATATTAGAATTCATCTTCAAATTTCTTTTTTTTTATCTAAAAAATAAGAATTTAGCTTTGCTGTACTTAGTAAATTAATTGTCACTGGTTCCTACTCACTCCACTGTTGGTTCCATATACCCAACAACTGCATGTCATGACCTCTATGCAAAGTAAATTGAGGTAGGAGCACAGCTTCCCTGTGAGGAGGTGTTAACATTGGTATCTTCATTAGATCATTTGATCACCTGTGAATATTGCAACATAATACAGTTTTCATATGTTTCTGGTTATGTGGGTTATGGTTAACACTAAAATACATCCCACACAAGAACGTAATGCTTAAAATTATTCCTTCTGTTAAACTGATACTATAAACAATATTACCATAAACCCAAAGGATTCAAAGAGAAAACAGCATACTGCACATTTTCTACTATCAATAAAGCTCTCTGTCACCCACCAAACATGGTAAAAACATTAACAGTCTAATATTCTCAGTTAAGTGGTCAGAAAAAAAAAATCAACAAGGCTACATAAAGTGGAATTCCACCTATCAGCTTTAACTCGAAACTTTCATTAAATATATGTTGTGTGGTAAGCTATCAATTAATGATAGAATGAAGCTATCATGTTTACCTATTTCAAAATATAATTTCCTTTTTATTGCTTATAAAAGCATTTTTATTTTTGTGTATTTCCTAATGCATGTAATTAATATGGTAGTGCATATGTCATTTATAGGTAAATGAACACAAATAAAGAGTACATGCATAAAATTTCTTCACAGATAGGTATGAAAGATCAAAATGTGGACACCAATACTCCACTGGAATGTAAATTTCTTACTAGATTGTAAGACTCTGGAAGGTAGGAATCATAAATTATTTAGTTGGAGCCCCTTCACGGAGTGAGGAGTAGGAGAGTGAAAGAATGAGTGGAGATTCCAATGACTCATATTTCTGACTTTGGGCCTTTCAGCACCTGCACTGTTCCAGGCAGCGTTCATCATAAATAACACAATCCCTGATGCACTCTGCCCTGGAATTGTGGCAACAACAGAACAACAAAAATAATGTCAGCTTTGACCTCACCAAATAATAAAAAGGTGGTGTTTTTCTTTCAGTAAAAGTTCCATCTTTATCATCTAATGCTGCTTTTTATCTGCTAAAAATGACATATTTATAAAAATACTAGAGGCCTAGTGCATGACATTCATGCACTGGGGGGAAGGGGAGTCCCTCAGCCTAGCTTGCACCCTCCATTTTTAAGGAGGTTTCAGGCTAGTTGAGCTTCAATAGGTCTTTTTTTCCTCCTAGTTTGAGACCCCAAAGAGGATATCCAACTGCCAGCTTAGGCCTGCTCCCTGGGGAGTGGGCCTAATTTGACAACCAGACATTCCCCAAGGGGTCCCTTGTGCTGCTGCAGAGGCAGGAGAGGCTCTCACTACCACTGCTGTGCTCACCAGCTGTGATCCTGGCTTCTGACTGAGCAGCACCCCAACCTGTGGGAGCATACTGACTACCAGGGGGCAGCTCCTGCATTGAGCATCTGGCCCCTGGTGGTCAGTGTGCAACATAGCAATCGGTCATTCTGACGTTTGGTCGATTTGAATATTACCCTTTTATTATAGAGGATAAATAAATGTTGATTTTGAAACTATATATCTATGGTTATTTCTAGAGGTATAAATTTTACCTATTGTCAGTTTCCTAGATCAACCCTCTTTGCTGAAACATCCTAAAACTCCTGGATACAGTATTAAAATTTTCTTATGAAAATATGCTGTAGGTGCAAATAGGAGGATGAAGATTTGTCATCTTAGAGACTTAGAAGCATATGACTCCATCATGTGCTTACTCTAGAGAGAAGCCCATTTCCTAGGAGGCATGTGATGAGTATGAAGTGTCTGAGATGATGAGGAGACATGGCTGCTAGAGAGGAGTTGTGGTGCTAAAATAACTGCAGGGTCCCAATGTTAGACATAGGTTTAGAAACAATCCCTTCTCTGTAGGTTGAGAAATCACTCCCCTTATTAAAGAGCCAGAACACTTCCCAAGAGACATTGCTGTTACCAATGACACCCCAGTATTCTCTGGTAGTTCAACTTTTCTTCACCTTTCCCTTCCCTGAAAAAACACACACAAACATAACTCTCCATAGAAGCATCTGGCACAATTCCTCTTTAATACCTTTGATTCATAAAAGGAACAAAGAAGTTACTGACTCCTATATCAGATTGAGTCTTGCAGGGAACAAAAGACATCCCATTGTTCATTTAATTATTCATTCACTAACGAAGCAAGGAACATTACTAAGTACCTATTGTGTTATAAATTGCTTAACTGTCCCCACAGTATCCAATCTCCCATTCCTCATATTCATAATAGAACACCTTGAACTTTCCACGGGACACAAGCTTCTCCTTGAGATCCTTGCTGTTGGTTAATGTGAGCAACATGCGGGGGTCACTTCCTTAAAAAGGACGTTTCTTGTTCCCCCACTTTCTTCCTCCCGCTTCAGGTACAAGAATGCAGATGTGGTTCTAGCGAGCTAGCATCAACCTTTCACGTGAGGATACTCCTGAGGCTGGTAGGGCACAGGGTAGAAGGAGCCTGGGTCCCTGTGTGACCTTGAGGAGCACAGCAACCCACCTACCCTGGACTGCCAACTCACATTGGACTTGAAAGAGAACAAAACTTCTGTCTTGTTTGAGCAAATGTGTTCTTGGGAATCTCAGTCTGTATCCTAATAAGCAGGCCAACGTTGGATATGGAAGTATGGAAATGGTTAAAATCACATTTTTTAGGAATGAAAATAATTCTGCCTTGTACCCTTTCAGCATCAGGTTTTATTCATGCCATTCCCTCTCCCTGTCATGTCCTTTACCCATGTGTAGAAAGTCTATTTTTCTGTCAAGGGTTTGCTCAGATACTACTTACTTGCCAATTTTGGCTCTCCTCCTGAGCCGATCCTATGCCTCTGTGCTGTTCCAGTGAAGGAACTCTTCCTTCCAGTAAAAACAAACTCCCACTTTGTGCTTCCCTTACATTATTTTTGTCTAATATAAAAACATGTGTTTATATATTTTCCTAGAGGCTTCACCACAAAGACTATCATCATGTCACTAATTTTTCCATCTCCCTGACATCTAAAACAATCCCTTTAATCACACAATACATGTTTGTGAGATATTCATTGAATGCCAGCTTTACTTTTGTGTACCTATCAGCCTAAAATAAATGTTTTGCACATTTAATCTGAAGAGATGTTCACATTTCCTCCTTTCCTATTTATCAAATGGAAAAGTAATTGTTACTTCAAAAATTTCAATAGGTCTTTTTTCCCCCCCAATTAGACAGTACCAGCCTGCCTTGAAAACATATTCCAGAAAAACCGACTATTGTTAGAATAAGATAATTATGATTGTAATAACCCTTTGAAAAGAAATGTCCACTGCTCCTGTTTTGTTTGTCACATAATAGAGCTAGGTCCTATTTCAGCATGATGTTTTCAGGAGCCAATATGTATTTTTTTTTATTTTCCTGCATTATTCTTTCATCCTTTTACTGACATTTATTCTTTTGATGCAATTATCCTAACAGGAAAGCACTGGCCAGGCAAATGGGTTGTTGTCTGTCTCTGAAGAGACATCCATATCTTGTTGCTTAGCTTTCAAGTTCTGTGATCAGGAACCCTCGGGCCCATTTTTAAGGAGGTTTCAGGCTATCGGAGCTTCGCTGTCTCCCAAAATGTCCAAAATGAGATTACATGATGGGCAAGATCAATTTACTAGAAGGTACTTAAGCAATAAATCTGGAGCTTTTTTGTCCAGTCACCATTTCCTTCGAGCTCTGCGGCAGAAAATTAAGCCACAAGAGCTTTGACAAATTAGATATTACTACATCTAATTGTGTATGTTTAAGCTTATCACACTGAATCACAGCATTGTAACCAACTCTCATGCCAACAAGGCCTTCGTTTAATCAGCGCAGTGCCATTTAACAGCGATTAATCACTCAACTAAAATGTCATATTGAGGTCACAGAAACTTGAAAGCTAAAAAGAGAGAACATTAAAGTCAGCTGATAAATAGGGGGAAAGAGCACACTGTGCCCAGGGAAGTTCTGAGCGCTTTGCTTTGTTCAAGGATGATAGAACATCGAACGAGAAGGCAAGCTTCACTTTCAACTGAGATCAGAAAACATTTCATTCATTAGGCTCAGAAGGAAGCCATTCTGTCAGTTCTTCAGGGAGCGACCATCGTTAAGTAGGCAGTTTCTGCCCACAGAATAATTGAAATTGGTGAATTGGGGGTTTATTGTACAGATGTTTGTATTTTCAGGGACACCACTTTATGACTTTTATTTGACTTATTCTTTGGGCTTTTTTTTTTTTTTTGTGGAGGGAGCATTTTTCCTTTGCTGTTACTTTTAAGAAGACAGAGATCAGGTATAATGTGGCACTTAACTGACTATAATGTGACACAAAATGAAGTATCACATTATAGTCAGTTACAAAATATTTATGAAAAGGTATAATGCCAGCAATTTGATGCACTCATTTGCAAATGAGTTTTCATTTTTCAAAAACTTGCCAAACGGAGTGTTACAGGACAAAAAAAGACTAAAGATATTTTTCATTTTTGTTTTTATACCCTAGAACCACTGCTGTAGTGCAGGGATCTCCCTTTTCCATGTCCCTCATGGAAAGAGAGATGAACGAATCGGTTCTAAACGGAGGTGCCCAGGGATTGAGAAATATTAGAAATAAAGAGAGAAGACATAGAAATAGATTTCAAGCTGGGAGCTAGGAGGGCCACTGACCTCCTCTGCGGGAGAGACAGACTGACAACCTTCTGAGCCACGCAGCACATCTATTTATACTCCAATCCAACAAGGGGTTTCACAGGAAAACAAGGAGCCTGGGAGAGCCCAGGTTCCACCCACTCCTTTGTCTTGAACAAACACATTAGTCAGGAACTAAGAACATCTCCGCACTCCCAGGGCGGGAGTGCAACTAACATGATTCTGCCAATATCCCGGGCCCAGTTAGCAACAGTCTATAGAATGTCCAGGTGTCTTCCCATTTGGCCCTCTACACTGTAGAGCCTAAGACCATGGGAAAACACATATATTTACATTACAATTCATTAACAATAGCAAAAATTTTAGTTGCAATTTTAGTTGCAAATTGAAGTAGCAATGAAAATAATTTTATGGTTGAGGGTCACCACAACATGAGGAACTGTATTAAAGGGTCGTGGCATAAGAAAGGTTGAGAACCATTGCCCTAGACTCTGCACAGTACCCTCTAGACAGGGCCTAGAGGGTACTGTGCAAATGGGTCGTCTGACAAGTCTATTATATTCCTTCATGAGACAAAACTTGTGACAAGAAGAAATCATTTTACCTGCTGGACCTAGAACAGAGAAAGGTTCCTTAAAGACCAGGACTCTGTGTCCCTCATGGCTTGTCCCTGGCACATCAACCAGGCCTGGCCCTAATAAATATAGCCTGATAGGCTGACTGACTCTGAAACCAGAAATGTGGTATATGGTAAACAAGCAAACAAATAAGGCACACCTGATATCTCTCTTCATTACGGAGTACTGGGGGGATTACCATTCAGCTTGTAGACTTAAAATAGCATTTGAGAGTATTTTGAAATATGACAAAAGTGATTATAATGACCACTGTTCAAACTTGGAATAAACAGCAGAGAGAGTGAGATCAAGAACCACCTCTGATAGGGAGAATGGATTCAGTTTTTATACCTAGTGGCCTTATCAACAGGGGAGATTCCATGTGTTGAGATTGACACTCACTGAGACTGCCATCTAATTTATGCAGGCCTATGTGGTCTGGTACTGGCAACATGTGGCTGTTGAACACTTGACTGTGACTAGTGTAAGTTGAGATGTGCCACAAGTGCCAACCACATATTAGATTTCAAAGGGTTAGCATAAAAAAGAATGTAAACTATCTCATTAGTAATTTTGTTTATTACATGTTGAAATGACAATATTTGGGGTGTGCTAGGTAAATTAAATATATTATTGAAGGTAGTTTCACCTGTTTCTTTTCATTCTTTTTGATGTACTACCAGGAAATTTAAAACTGCATATATATCTCGAGTTATATTGTTAATGGAGAGTGCTGGTGTATGTAGACCAATGAATTGTCACCTATGCTGGTATCATTACTGACCTAGACCAGATGTGATCTGGTAACACAGAGTTGCAATACTTCCTGACTCATTCTAATCCACTAATCTGGGCTGTTTCCCAGAGCTTTTAGCTCTCAATCAAAGAGCTGGAGTTGTTAGAATACCAAATGGACAATAAAGCTAATAACATCAACAGTGCACTTGACAATTAAAGGACTACTTCTGGAAAGATAGGATGCGTCATTATTCAGTTAGAAGGAGAGAATGACAAAACAATTTAACAAACATCTTTGAGGACTTAATGAAACAAGCTAAGCTTGCAGCATGAAGGTTAGAAGTTAACTTGAATGATTTCTTAAGTGTCAGGGTTGTTTAACACTTGAGACAGGTTGTGACTCTTCTTTTTCTGGAGGGCAATGATAATAAGGTAGGGCCTCCTCTGAAGTCTCAGATAAGTATAAGATTATAGAAGATAATTTAAGATAGTGAGCCCAATATCGGTATTTATTCAGATACTTGGAGTGCTTCTGAAAGTTGGTGACAAGACTGGACAAGATCACTAGCCCTTTCAAACACAATGAGCCTCCAATTGGAGCCATCTTTAATTTCTCTCCTTAGTTGTTAATAAAATTCTCTTTAAAATGTATTATTTTGTGACATCTCATCACTGTCTTATAAAATTTGCATTTAAAATGTATCAAAATATTATATCTGGAACTGGACTGAAAGCCCCTCAAGATCTGAGTCTATTGTATTACCTTATTATTATATGCCTTTGTAAGCATAGAACTATAGTGTATTCATTAAATGTAAATGTGTGTATGTGCTATTGGACATATAGTTATTCCAAAATATTTGGTGGATGAATATATATAATATATATTAATATATATGTTGAATAATAATAATAAAAATACACACAAATGTCTGCACTTGCACTGTTTAGGTGGCAAAAGTAGCCAAAGTGTGTTGCAAATCCCCATGTTCCCAGTTTGGTCCAATACATGTATATAGCAAAAGCTTCATAAGCAAATGGTGCATTTGAGTGTAAATAAATTTGTATTATTTTTTCCCAGTGAGATAAATTGTGAGATCAGTCTTCTGTAGGTTATCAATAATTTCTGTAAATATTTCGATGTTTTAAGATCTTTTGCAAGGTAAGTTCTTCTGGTAGTACAGCTTCAAATGACGATGTGAAAGAATAGTCACTACATGTATCAACTCGAGAAAAACAAATGGAACCACAAAACTCTAATAAAAACCATTCTATTTAAACCGAAGTCCCTGATCAAGTTAAAAGCCTGGTTTATAACCTGTGATGCATTACCTGAAATCTACAATGTAAATGACTTTTTGAGTGGAAACCTTTGGGGTTTTTTTTTTTTTTTTTTTTAGACAAATTTGTCTGGCCTCAGTTTTCATAGTGTTTAGTAAACTTGTATGCTGGTATCTTTGGCAGGTCACAGGTTTACTTACCCTATATTTATATTCATGCATCAATTTTAAAATGGAAACATCTTGAGTTTTCAGTGGCGATGCACCAAACTCCAGCGAGAAAGTAGTGTTCACACAACACATGATACAATGTATAGGTGTGGCCAACATATGCATCTCCAGTTTCTACCACATAAAGAAATTCATCACTTATCTGAACGTATTTGCGTGTCCCTCCTCTCACCCTGGTCCCAGGAAAAGTAACTTTGTTTTGCTCTTTGTAAAATGCATCTATTGTTTCTTCTTCCTAAAGTGTCAGTTCCACATCCAAACATGTTAAACAATGCCAAGCTCAGTTAACTTCCAGACATTTACTCTACCTCTGGCTGGGCCCATCCTGTTAACTTCGGTGCCAGCACACAGCTATTTGGCCTTTTATAAAGGTCACATATCTTCCTTCTAAGTAGAGTTGCTTTAGCCATGTCTGAAAACATGATTCCTCCAAATGAGGGTCTTACATTCTCATGGAGGAAGATCCTGCAGTGAGATCCTCAAACTGTTCGTTACTTTTCTGAGGGTGCTGAGTGGGGGGTACTAGTGCCTTATAAAAGAGGACTTAATTCTTCCCAGGTATTGGTAAATGATTAGGCTAGAGCAGGGATCCTAGACTGACTTTACCTCTGTGCCTAGAAGACTATGTTGTTCCTGTCAGCAAACCATATGAGAACATGAAAAAATAACATCAATTTTAACATCTTCCGAACAGGTTTGTAGAATTGTTTCTTTAAATAGTAGGAAAACTTACTATCGCTAGTATAGTGAACATGAAAGTGACAACCACATGCTTTTTTTGGAGGATGCCAATGATATTTCTAAATGTCCTTAAAAAAAAAAAAAAAATTTGTTCCTCCCTGCCCCACCCCCTGCCTTCCTGTGAATGAGTAGCCATTTCTTGGGCCAGGTTATTTAATTCTTAGTACTTTTATCAACACGAGAGGTCCCAGCCTAAAGCAGGGAACTTGGTTTTTTCCCCCTTTTTATTTGTTTTCTTTTCAGATATCGACGATATGCCCCTATCACATGTACAGTTTAGTGAGATGGATGACACTTCACTAACTGGCAGTTCAAGGAAGTCTTACCCTGGCTTGTTTACATGAACACGTTTTAGAACAGCCATTTAGCTTCCCGCCGGCTCTGCCCCGCTGCCCAGCTCCAGGGGGAGAGCAGTCAGTGAGCCTACAGGTCGCTGATAAACTAACCCCCCATTTGGCAAGCAAGGAAGCAGAATGATAAGGGCCCTGATTTATGTTTTATCTGTCACTAAGTTTTCAGCCGCGTTGGGCAGCCAGCCTGAAACGACTGGGTTCTGTTATCACCTCGGATGCCACGGGTTCCTTAAGTGAGGCAGAGTCTCTGGCGACTTTTGAAAAGAACTTCATTTCACCTCTCGGAGAAGGTTAGCAACGCCGCTTTCAAACGCCAGCATCTGGCTCAGTAAACTCCGAGGCTTTAAACTGGCCTGTGGGGCTCGATTCCAGAGCGAACTCTTAACTGCCCAGATCCTACTCCTTTGGAAACACAAAACTGGTCTTGATCATATACTAACTTTGGGAATGCCTGAAGTTTTAAAACATTTAGATATGTAAAATGTATGTGTTCATGGGAAGATTATATCGACCCTTCTACCCCAATTTACCTAAAAAGAAAACTTTCTACAAATCAGACACTGAATAAAATATAAGTTGAATTTGGGTAATAAAAAGTAAGTTGAAGAAGATGATCATCTGTCTTCAGGGAGAAAAACAGTGTCAGTGGGTACAATTAGAAAGCAAAAGAAGTCCTGTTGACTCTGTGATGGATGCCACAGTAGGGCTGGGGGGGTCAATGGGAGATTAGCCTACATAAAAGCCGGGAGTGTGTCCTTATCTGGTCCACTCACACAAGTCAGCGAAGGAAAGCCCTTCGCCCTTCCCCAACCTGTTTCCAGTTGTTTCCCCCCAAGTTTAAATTGGCCTGTCGTTTTACAAGGATGGATGGGTATTATTTTTAAGCTTTTATTTTACAATGGAAGAATGTGAGTGTTTCACCAGTGAAATTTTCCCATGGAGAAGGGAACAGCAATGAATCATAAGCCATATAAATACTCCAAAGCTCCATACACACACACACACACACACACACACACACACACACACTCAGTTATGTTCAAATATCTTCTCTTCCAGTTGTGTTTTCTTTCTAAACATCCTAAGAAGAGGAAGGTGAGGGAAGGTCATGGCTTGCAAGCTATCTTTTGCAAACAATGGTAGTCTATCTCCTGTATTCTCAAATGTATAATTTTTTGGCACCTGACATGGACCCAGGGGAACAAACTATTATATTTCCCCTGAGGAATACCTTTCGGTGACATTCTTCCACCACCTTCCTTAGGGTAAAAGCCAAACTTCTTAGCATGAAAACTGGCTATTTAGGAGCTGCCACTGTTGACTACCATTTGGCCTCATCCTCTGTCACTTTCCACCCAGGTCACACTAAAGTGCCTGAAGTTCACCGGATAACCCCATGCTTCCCCTCTCCATACCAGCAAGGATTTTAAAATATGTATCAGTTTTGATTACTACTGTTTCCCCAATGCCTAAAACTACTCATAAAATTAAGTGTCCAATAATTATTTGTTAATAGAATGATACATACATGCCATTCCCTTAGTCTAGAAAATCTCCTTTCTTTCCCTATTTCAAAACTTGGGCCACTTAGGGAAAGTCTTCTACCTCCCATCTCCATATCTGGGAAAGATGGAATACTCACAGGGACTTATGGCATCCATGGCACCCCATCCACATTTTCTGCATCACATTGCAATTGCTTGTATCCATGAGCAGACAGACGCCACTTAAGAGGGCGAGGGTGAGGTTGTATTCCAGTTCTGCATGCCCTGTGTTTCGATGAGTACATGATGAATTTAACTAGCGCCCCATTCCTCTCTATGGCCAAAAGCCTACATACTGTGTCCCTCTGAGCCCTCTTCTGCTTCTCTCCACTCTCTCTCACCCTAATTTACTCACTCTGGCTTCCTAGCTGTCCACACACCACGCATGCCTTAACACTCCCACACTCTGTTCCTTCGGTCTGAATTGCCCTTCCTGCAGATATGCTCTGCCTATAACTCTGTCACTGTCTTTGTTCAAATGGTCAATGAGGTCTACCTTGCATAGCTACCTAAAACTGCAACCCTACCTCCCCCATTCCTGATTCCCTCTACCCTTACTCTCTTCTCACATATAATAAGAGTATTTTTTGCTAGGTTAATTGTCTGTTGTGTGTTACCCTACTTGACATAAGTTTCACAAAAGCAAAGTATTCTGAATCTTTTATTTATTGAAGTATCTTAAGCACTTAAGAGTGATGCCTGGAAGATAGCAGGCAATCAATAAACAGTTGTTGAATCAATAAATGTTTATTGTATACAGATACATATCTACATACATTTATATATACTATTTTTTCATAAACATTCTAAGTCAAATTACTGGTTAATTTGCAAAAAGAGCATCTTACTCCCTTCTTTCCTTTCCAACCTCCCAGCCCCTCACCAAAGGCAGAACCAAAGGCAAAATTCAGGCTCTGATGAGGTTCCTGGCTCCATGCAGCCAAGGAGGAGGGGAGACACAGGTGGACAGTTTTTAAAAAAAACATACTCCAATTAAGAGTCCAATGGAGAAGGACCAGCTCAGCAGCTCTGTGAGTGAGGTCTGTGGCCTCTAGTACCTGAGCTTTCTTCTGTCTTCAGAAGCAGAAGGTTAGAGTTTAATATTTATATTTTTTAATCTTGATCTGCTTGTAGTGGTCAAGGCACTGGTCATCTCTCCTTAACATTCTTCCATCACTCCTTGTCTTCTTTAAGGACCCAGCTGTATATAATATAATAGGGTACCCCACAAAAATGTATACACACACTTTGAATAATTATAAAGGCAGTGTTTATTAAAATACATTTTATTTTAAAAATTGAGCTATCAGCTGGTTAACAATGCATACATTTTTGGGACACCCTGCATATATAATACGTGCTATTTCAATATATACATATATAAAATCAATTTCATAGTTGAATAGAGTCATTATCTACCTTTACACATGTCCTTTTTTTCCCTTAATAAAATCCATAATGAGGTTTTCACTGCCTCTTTTAAGAGGCCAATATACTACATAATGGAAGCCACAGTCCAGTTCTGAATGTGACATTTAAATTTTCTTTTTAAATTGAATTATTTGCCTTTAGAAAGAATACTTTCTTTGGCTCAAACTTTCACACACTTGCAACATCTCGCCTCATAAGCCACAGTTTCAGCCTCTGTGTAAATCATGGTTGATATGAAATTAGTCTTCTCCACTTTTGGTAACTTCATAAAAATCCTGTTGTACGCTCTTAAATTCCTCGGTGTATTTACATGACTCATTGGTTTACTGTGAGAAAGACTGGTACTCCTGGACCTCAGTTTCAGAAGTTTCCTCCTGCTGGACAGTTAACTATGAAAGAGTTTGTACTCCCTATAAAAATACTGTCACTTTATTTATTTACCTACTTTTTTTTTTTTAACTACAGATTTTAACTGCTGACAAGCACAACATGAAAATATTTATCTTCACTTTCTTGTCCTCATGCTGGCATGTTACCACGGGCACTGGGCATGGAAAAGGATGTCACTGGGAGCCCTGTGTGCATCTCATTATTCTCTTCCCTTGTGGTCCTGTCTTTACAGAACCAAGACCATCAATCTCTTCTGAAACGTGGTGCTTTGATATTTCTCTTCAATTTATGTATGGCTAGTCACACATTAGATTTAGAAAATAAATTTGTCATTTTGCTTATGTTGTTTTTGGTGTTCCTTTTCCTTTATGCCTTTTCTAATTTATTTCTTCCTTTCTATGTTTTGCAGGCATTTTTTACAGCTGTTAATTAGATTATCTCATATTAGCTTCCTCATTTTGTATTTACTTTATCTCTATTTACCTTTGTATTAACATAATTAGAATAATCCTGATATCCAGTTCCTTTTCTTTGGTCCAGGATGTCACACCCCATGCAACTGTATATATGTGGTCTTCTGGATTTGTGTCTATTTGATGGCAGCCAAGTCCGTTAGCACGGCCTAACTCCTCAATGGTACATCTAACAACATGTATAACTATTATGCACAAATGGGATACATATTGTTTATATCCACACACCACTGTTTGTAATTTATAACAAGAGTTTTGCATGTAATCTGCTAAAGAGAGTTTTTTCAAAAGTGTCTTAATTATTTTGAAAATATTTTCCATTGTAAACATACTATACTGAGAAAAAGGATTTCTGGGCTTTATATACAATAAAATAATAATTCATTTGGGTAAACCATGGCCAAATGTAGGCTCAATCAAATAGTATCATTAATATCAACATTGACTGAATATCCTCTGTGCATATTAAGCAATGGCTTGGTGTTGACTTTATACTTGAGCAGCTTTTGTGGTGTTCTATATATTCAATTTCATTACCACAGCTCTGTGAGGTTAAATATATTTTTTAAAATAAGTTTTTAAAGAAACTTAACTCACTCATTTTGTTTAGTGAAAGAATTATAATATATTGCTCTATGTTAACACATACACAATTATAAATTTAGTGATGAACTAAATGTCACCCACCTGATAATGCTATGGTCCTAGAGATAAGACTAGTACATTTTTAAAGGAGTGAAGGTAGGTTATTGAAAACTTTATAGGTTGGGCTGCATCCAGAATGGCTAAGTCCTATGGATTGCTGTGCTGGAAGACTGTGGGTAAGCTGGGGCCTTGAGGACTGGGTAGAGTCTGAATAAAGAAAACAAACAAACAAAAGGAATCTCTGCTTCACTGGTGCAGTTGTAACAGTCCAGTTCATAGTGGAAAGTGTTCTGATTTTATAATAAAATGTATACTGGGATAATATGTTGAACTCTCCTATTGATCGTCAATGTGTGGAGAACTTTAAATCATTTTCTCTACTCTACTGCACTGGAGGTCACTCAATACCTCAATGGAAGGATATCAGAGACCAAAATATGGGCCAGGTACAAGAGAAGCCAAGACTGAATTGAAGAAAAATGAGTTAGGGTTTTTTGCATTACTAGACTCAGTTGCTAGGAAAGGAAGTTGGAGAGGTACTAGGTAGGATCTCAGAGCTGATTGGATCTCAAAGCTCAACCTGCATAGTCAGTCAGGCATCAGTATCCAGAAGCTCTCTGCAAGCTATGAGACCATTCAAACTCCTTTCAAGGATACAGTTAACATCACTTGCCCCTTATAACAGTGACATCTGCTCTCTTTATTTGCTCCTTTTTTTTTTCTTTTTTTTTTTGAATGTTGAACAGATGATTTAGCTTAAACATTACAAGGGAAAAGTGACCCATCATAGACAAAGACTTTCTCTTTTCTGAAAACACTCATGCTTGCTGACTGTATGCCTAAGCAAGAGGTTGTCAAAGGCACAAAATGAACTGGAAGTTAAAAGCTCTGCTGTCTTGAGCCCTTGCCCGGTGAGTTCCCTGTTCCCAGCACAGACAGAGCGTGCTCTGGCACAGGCACAGACATAACCTTTGACTGGTGTGCATGCTGCCCCTGACACAGAGCTACAGCCCAGTGTGTGCTATGCCCCAGCACAGACAGAACCTTTGGTCTCTGCACACTCTGCACACAGCACAGACAGAGCTGTCACCCAGCATGCACCCAACCCCCAGCCCAGGTCAGAGCTGCTGGTGTGACCTGGTGTACCAAGCCACAGATCACACGACCGCACTGCAAGTGAACTGCCAGAAGGACCTAGGACACCATAATGCCTTAGGACTTGGGTCACAAAGCTAATTGCATGCCAGAGGGCTCTGAGTTCTCACAGAGAGTCATACATACCAAAGGAACTGTGAACCTGCCCCCACCAATGCCAAGAAATGGATAACTAAGGGATCAAAACTATGGGAGAAGGGGTCAAAACTCAGAGAAGAGACAATAAAGGTATGAAACTCAAGGCAGGCCCAGCCCTCTGGGGCTAGCAAGTCCAGGACCAATGGACTGCTACCCCTAGCAGAGAGCCCAGGGCCAGAAAGAGACAACAAAAATGGGGAGACAAAGAAATAACCCGCAAGGAAAGAAAAGGAGAAATTACCAGAAAAGGAACTAAATGAAATGTAGGCCTGCAATATGTCAGAAAAAAGAACTCAGAATAAGGGTTATACAGTTCGAATCAAGAGGAAATAAAAAAGTATTATTGTGCCGAAACCGGTTTGGCTCAGTGGTAGAGCGTCGGTCTGCAGACTGAGGGGTCCCGGGTTCGATTCCGGTTGAGGGCATGTACCTTGGTTGCGGGCACATCCCCGGTAGGGGGTGTGCAAGAGGCAGCTGATCGATGACTCTCTCTCATCGATGTTTCTAACTCTCTATCTCTCTCCCTTCCTCTCTGTACAAAATCAATAAAATATATATATAAAAACAAAACAAAACAAAAAAAAAACATAGATGCTAAAATCCTCAATAAAATTCCAGCAAATCAGATCCAGGTCCTAACTGGTTTGGCTCAGTGGCTAGAGCACTGGCCTGCAGACTCAAGAGTCTCAGGTTCGATTCCAGTCAAGGGCATGTATCTTGATTGCAAGCACTTACCCAGTAGGCAATATGCAGGAGGCAACTGATTGATGTTTCTCTCTTATTGATGTTTCTAACTCTCTATCCCACTCCCTTCCTCACTGTAAAAAATCAATAAAAAATATATATTTTAAAAATCGAATCCAGCATTACATTAGAAAGATCATACACAATGACCAAGTGGGATTTATTCCAGGAATGCAAGGCTGGTAGAATCTTAGCAAATCAATAAATGTGATACATCACATAAATAAATGGATAAAAATCACATAATAATATCAATTGATGTAGTAAAAGCATTTGACAAAATCCTATACCTTTCTTGGTAAAATCTTTCAACAAAGTGGGATTAGAGGGATCATATCTCAACCTAAGAAGAGCCTTATATGACAAACCTACAGCCAACATCATACACAATGGGCAAAAACTAAAACCATTTTCCTTAAGAATAGGAATAAGACATGGATGCCCACTCTCACCACTCCTGTTTGACATAGTACTGGAAGTGCTAGCCATAGCAATCAGAAGAGAAGAAGAAATAAAAATATCCAAATTAGAAAAGAAGTAAAACTGTCATTATATGCAGATGACATGATATTGTACATAGGAAACCCTAAAGACTCCATTTAAAAACTACTAAAGTTAATAAATGAATTCAGCAATGTAGCAGGATATAAGTTAATGCCCATAAACCTATGTGTTTTTTTATACACCAGTAATAAACTCACAGAAGAGTAACAAAAAAAACAAACAAAAAAAAAACAAAACAAAAAAAATCCCATTTACCATTGAACAAAAAAAAAAAAAAAAAAAAAAAAAAAAAAAAAAAAAAAAAAGATGCCTAGGAATAAACTTAACTAAGGTAAAATATTTGTACTCAGAAAACTATAGGATATTGAAAATGGAGATAGAAGAATACATAAATATATGGAAGAATATACCATGTTCATAGATTGGTAGAATCAACATCAAAATGTCCATAATACCCAAAGCAATCTATTTTATAGATATTCAATGCAATCTCCATTAAAATATCAATGGAATATTTCACAGACCTAGAACAAACTCTCCAAAAATTCATGTAGAATAAAAATAGACCCCAAATAGTCACAGCAATCTTGAGAATGAAGAATGAAATTGGAGGGGTCACAATACCAGATATCAAGCTATATTACAAACTACTGTCCTCAAAACTGTCTGGTACTGGCACAAGAACAGAATTATAGACCAACAGAACAGAAAAGAAAACCCAGAAAGCGACCCAAGCCATTCTGTTCAATTAATATTTGACAAAGAAGGCAAGAGCATACAATGGAGTCAAAACAGTCTCTTCAATAAATGGTGTTGGGCAAATTGGACAGATACATGCAAATAAAAAGAAGAAAGAAAGAAAGAAAGAAAGAAAGAAAGAAAGAAAGAAAGAAAGAAAGAAAGAAAGGAAGGAAGGAAGGAAGGAAGGAAGGAGTAAATGAAGGAAAGGAAGGAAGTAAAGGAAGGAAGGGAGGAAGAAAAGGAAGGAGGAAGGAAGGAAGGAAGGAAGGAAGGAAGGAAGGAAGGAGAGGAAGAGAAAGAAGAAACTAGACCACCAACTTACACCATACACAAAAATAAACTCAAAATGAATAAAGGATTTAAATGTAAGATAGGAAACCATAAAAATTTTAGAAGATTCCATAGGCAGCAAAAAAATTAGACATATGTCATAGCAATATCTTTATTGATACAGCTCCTATGACAATGGAAACTAAAGAGAAAATAAACAAATGGGACTATATCAAAATAAAATCTGCATAGCAAAAGAAACCATCAACAAAACAACAAGAAAGCCCATTGCATGAAAGAACATATTTGCCAAGGTTATATCTGATAATGGCCTAATATCCAAAATGTACAGGTAACTCATACATCTTAACAAAAGGAAGATAAATAATCCAATAAAAAAATGTGCAAAGGACTTAAATAGATACTTTTTGAAAGTGGACATATAGAAGGCCAAGAGACATATGGAAACATGCTCAAAGTCACTAATCATCTGAGAGATGCAAGTCAAAATGCCAATGAGATAACATCTCACACCTGTCAGGATGGCTATCATCAACAAATTGATAAATGACAAACACTGACAAGGATGTGGAGAAAAAGGAACCCTCATGCACTGCTGGTGGGAATGCTGAATGGTGCAGTCACTGTGGAAAACAGTATAGTTTCCTCAAAAAATTAAAAATGGAACTCCCATTTGACCCAATTATTCCACTTCTAGAAATATATTCCAAGAAATCAGGAACACCAATCAGAAAGGACATAGGCACCTCTATGTTTATAGCAGCACAATTTACAATAGCTAAGATTTGGAAATAGCCTAAGTGCCCATCAGCAGATGAGTGGATTAAAAACCTGTGGTACATCTACAAAAATGGAATACTACACTGCCATAAAAAAAGAAGAAACTTTTATCATTTGCAACAGCACAGATGGAATTGGAGAGCATCATGCTAAGCAAAATAAGCCAGTCAGAGAAGGATAAGTATCATATGATCTCACTCATTTGTGGAATTTAATGAACAACATAAACTAATGAACAAAAATAGATCCAGAGACATAAAAGTATTGAACAGACTTTCAAACTTCAGAGGGAAGGCCAGGGAGGGAGGACTCAACAAAAAGACTTGTATGCATGAATATAAGCATAACCAATGGACACAGACACTAGGGGGGTGAGGGTATGTGCTAGGTGGTGGGGTTTGCCGGGGAGAGGTAAATGGGGGGGGGGGGGGGGAGGAGACATATGTAATACTTTAAACAATAAAGAATTTAAAAAATAAAAAGCTCTCCTGTCTCTTCAAGAGAGTTAGATAGCCCAGCAGATACATAATGGGAAACATATGTTCATTTCTACTTATTCTTAAACTAGAGGCCCAATGCATAAAAATTCATGCAAGGATGGGTCTTCCTTCCCCTGGTTGCCGGCACCGCCTTCGCTCCATCCGAAGCCACCTTTCCACCTTCCCACACTGCCCAGAGGCCCTGAGTGGCTGGGGCGGTGCAGAATGCCACTATAGTGATGATGCAAGTGTCCCACCCGAGGCTGCTCAGTGCCTGTGTATGCAAATTAACCTGCCATCTTTGTTGGGTTAATTTGCATACTCACTCTGGATTGGATGGTGGGTATCGCCAAGGTACAGTCAATTTGCATATTTCTCTTTTATTAGTGTAGATTGCTTTGGTGCTTTGCAACAAAGCAGGACTTTTGATTCAGTCATTTGGATAAACTAAAGCAGGATAATCCTAGTACAATTCCTGAAAGTAAATTATAAAGATTCTAAAGAAAAAATGTATAAATGTAAAGAAAAGCATGTTAAGTGTACTATACTATATTCTCTGCTACACACATAAATGATGAATGGTACAGTTTGCCACTTATTTAGTTTGTCTCAGGTGTTTACTAATAAACTCCAGAATAGTGCAATGAGACATTTATTCATTTTTAAAGTTTGAGGCACGAAGCAGCCATGAAATAAAGATAATATTCTAATACTAGTGTCGAAATGATGAACGATATCAGTATTGTAATATGTGCAGACACCAGACGTCATTGGTGTTGACAAGTTTGTGACTATTTCACTAACAGACTGTCTTTCAGGGAATACGCTTGGATACTTGGAGCTAGGCCTTGCTTGGATTCCAGCTTTTCCAGCTGTCATCTAGGAGAACCCCAGAGCCTCAAACAGCTGCTCTTTTCATAGGGAATGTAACAAATAATTTCTCCTACACGATTTGTGAACCTGAAGTAAGAGGTTACATGCTCACTTCCCCATTTCTGAGTTTTGCCCAAGGATGTCCCTGTTTCTGCCTCTGTTTTGGGGGACAGATTTTGAAATGTGTTGTTATGTATTTACATGTTGAACCAGAATGCCTCATTAAGAGCTGGACACTTTTTCCATTAACTTTATTTGTAAAGGAAATGGTTTAGAAATAGTCATGTGTTCAGTTGTTGCCAACGATATTAGTGAGAAAACACCTAAAATATGTACAGCTGATGTCATACCATTGCCTAATAAGTTAATACAAAAAAAAAAAAAGACAAAATCTCAACAATACTTAATGATGACAGATATTTTATCATGCTGTAGTAGTGTAAAACTAGTCTGGAAATGTTGCCAGAAAAGTTTAGGGACAAAATTCAACAGTCCATTTCACATGCTATATACATTGTGGGTGTCCTGATGTATAAAACCTATCCAGATACCCTGACTGGAGACACTCAGAATCATCATTGAGACACTGTCTCAATTTTAAAATAATATAAAAATCTAAGTGTCCATCTGCCTGACCGGTTGCTATGATGTGCACTGGCCACTAGGGGGCAGATGTTCAAGGCAGGAGTTGCTATGATGTGCACTGGCCATTTAAAAATAAATGGCACCACGGACCCCAGCACTGCCAAACCAGCACTTGGCTTCCCCCAAGTGGGAAAAAGGCCCTGCCACCACCCCAGAACACACTCTACCAAATCACAGCCAATGCTGCCAAGCCCAAGACCCCATAGCCCAGACTGGAAATGGTGGCTGTGGCAGGTAGTGATGTCATGTAGCCACGCCCAACTTCCTCTCCCTAGTGACTAGCCTCCTTGCAGTTTATTCAGCCCAGGAACCTAAACTTGCTTTAGAGCCAGGTGCAAACATTTTGCCGTTTAACCAAATGTTTGTGAAGTGTTTTCCTATGTCTCATCTCATTTGACCCTCACAGAAGTCCTGGAGTAGGTAGATAGGAGTCTCAGTAGAATCCTATTTTCTTTTCATTAGCAAGATGTGAATAGTGATATTAAAATATTTCTTCTAATTAATTTCTTTTCAATATGCATGAATTCATGCACCAGGACACTAGTTTTAAAATAATTGTCAAGTATGCATGAAGGTACTCCTGCATTGTGCCCTATGTATCCCTCACTGAGTCACAGTAGTGAGCAACATTATTCAACACTTTTTTCTTTCGACACGTCTCCCCAACATTTTTAAGAAGTATTTAAAAAAAATCTCAGACATCATGTCATTTTACCCATAAATATTGTCAGCATGCAATTTTAAATTCTTAAGGACTTTTTTTTTTAAATGAACCAACATGCACTATGCCAACAAAGTTAACAATTGGTAAATATCATCTATATTTAATTTCCAGTCTGTATTGATGTTATCCTCATTGTCTTGAAAATGTCTTTCTACAGCTAGTTGGTTCCAAGAAGGATCCAAATAATATCAATAAACACAAATGCTACATGGTATCACTTAGGTAGCCAGGAGTGGAGGGGGCGGGACAGATAGAGAGACATTGATAAAAGTCTACAAACTTTCAGCTATAAGATGAATAATGTCTGAGGATCTAATGTAAAACACGGTGACTATGGTTAAAACTATATTGTACCACTGAAATTTGTTAAGAAATAGAACTTCACACACACACACACACACACACACACACACACACACACTCACACACACACATTCTGATAGATAGATATAGATGTATTAATGAGCTAAATGAGATGAATCCTTTCATAATACTATATATACATATATCAAATCATCATGATGTACACTTTAAATTTTTACAATTTTACTTGCCAATTATATCTCAGTAAAGCTGAAAAAAATAAGATCAATATACGGCTTTTTGTGTTATTCTTTTAAGTTTCTCTTAACTGTAATAGTCCTCTTAACCCCACTTGCTTTGCACCATTGATTTGATAGAGGTATTAGAGTATCCTGAGTTCTGAATTTGACCAGTTGTTTCCTCTTGCTGTCATCTCTTGTTCTTTGGAGCTTTCCTATAAACTATTATTTAGATCTAGAGGCTTGATCACATTCAGGGACATTATTGATGGGGGGCACTGTGTACTTAATTGCAACCAGTTATGAGGCCAGATGGGGTCAGCCTGATTTCCCATGATAATGATCCCCATCACTTCACTTAATTTAACATTAATTCACTACCATTGCATAGATTCATTATTTCACTGAAGTTGGCAAAATAATAATTTGCTAATTCTGTCATTTCTGGAGTTTTGTTTTTTTTTACAAAAGGAATTCTACTTTATCAATTTTTAGTTACCCAGAAATACAGGACTCTTTCTTTTATTGACGTTCAGGATAATGTGTTATTTCACTAACAACCCCGAAGGTGCCCAAAATTGAGTTCTTTTTGGCATCATCATAAATGCAGAGATTTGTATACTAGAATATATAATGCATTTCGTCCATTGTAGTTATTATTTTCATACTAAAATGATCCTGTCTTAGGCTAGTGAAAGCCCTTCAAGGTATCTTTGTATGTCCTTTGTGTGTGCTACATTTCCTCTTGGATAGAACCCTTGCTTTCTGACACATCAAAGCTGCCCAGGCTTATCTTGTACATTTGCTCAACCCATATCAGTTATTCCTCTAAGAACCCTTGGTTCTTGTTAGCGGAAAGTCTGGCCACCAAAATTTGACTTTTATAAGAAATACTGGCCTTGACTCACAAGCATAAAATTGCACATAGTATCATTCTTTCTTTTTCAAAATTGCCCAAATATTTGAAAAAGCTAGACATATAAAACTTTAAAATAGGCCTTTCAACATTTGGCAAGCCAATTTCTGTAACAATTTTTATGTAAACTTGTAGATAGTATGAGTAAGTGCTTTCATTTATGCCTTTATATATTTTTTTAAAATATTTCGGTTTCCTGTAACAGGAAAACACATACACCAGTGTTCACTCAGCAATTTCACAATGTCAGTGTAACATAGCTTCAGGGATGAGCTTGTAAATCACATAATTATTTTTCTTATTTTTAATAATTAAAAAATTTCTCTAGATTCTGCTCCCCCCTCCCCCCACTACGTGTTTCTATGAAGGAATATTCAATGCCAAGATCTGAAATGTAGGCTTAAAGTAGGTTACTGGTTATAATTGAGATAAGCCAAATCTATTTCTGTAAAAAGGAACTGAAATCCATGTGAACTGCTTAAAATTAGACACACAGCATATGGGGCACAGCTCCCACTTCTGTACTCCTGTGTATGTTTGTCTTCACTTGAAAGAAGCCCCTGAAGGTGCAGCACCAATGACACAGAGGGAAGACTCTATTTTTATTTTTTGTCTGGACTTCTTTGCTGGTTCTGTTCTCTGGCTAAGACCTGAATGATAAGACTTTTGTAAAAGGAAAGTGTCTCTTAGCTTAATTGTCTTCAGAAAAATCTCTGACCCTGGCCTGCCAAGGGCTCTACTTCATCCAGACGTCTTTCAACAAAGTGCAATTCCTTAGTCAGGCAGTGCTGGATGATGTTTTGTTGGTGCCTGTATGGTTTTGTGAACCAATGTCATCCCAATAAATTCAATTTAAAAATAAAAACAGCAACAAGATTAGATTTTTTCTAAATTTCTAAGTTCTACTCACTGCCAAGGTGCAAAATTCTCCACCTAACCCTAAGATTTTTTAAACTTTAGTTATTTTGATTACTTAAATTCCAATAAATATATTTTAAGTGAGTTTTTTTATTGAATTTATTGGGATAGCATTGGTTAATAAAATTATATAGGATTTGGATATATAATCCTATAATACATCATCTGTATATTGTGTTCTGTGTTCCACCCCAAGTCAAGTCTCCTTCGATCACCATTTACTTCCCCTTTATTCTCATTTACCTCTCCCACCCCACTTTCTCTCTGGTAATCACCATACTGTTATTTATGTCTATGAGTTGTGTTTGTTTGGGTTAATCCCCTTACCTTTTTCACTCAGCCCTCTAATCCCCTCCCCTCTGAGAGCTCTCAGTCTGTTCTCTGTACCTCTGAATCTGTTTCTATTTTGTTTATGTTCAATTGATTCACATATAAGTGAAATCATCTAATAGTTGTCTTTCTCTAACTGGCTTATTTCACTCTCCAGGTCCATCAATGCTATCGCAAAGGTTAAGATTTCCTTGTTTGTTTGTTTTTATAGACTAGTAATAATTTTGTAAATGTACGACAGCCTGTGTGTGTGTGCATGTGTGTGTGCTTGTGTGTGTGTATTGCTTTTTAGAACAAGAGGAAGGGAGAGAGAGAAACACCAATTTGAGAGCAATGCATCAATCAGCTGCCTCCTACATGCCCTTATCCTTATTGGGGATCAAACATGTAACCTGGGCATGTGCCCTCATAAGGAATCAAACCCGGAACCTTTTTGATGCACCTCACAACATTCAACCAGGCGAGGCATACCACAGCTTTTTAAAAAACAATGTTTTCTTGATTTTAGAGAGAGAGATAGAAACACTGATGAGAGAGAAACATCAATTAGTGGCCTTACGCACGACCCCTACTTGGATCAAGGCCAGAACCCATGTGCTCTGATTGGGAATTGAACCACTGACCACTTGGTGCATGGGTTGACATTCAACCGCTGAGCAACACCAGCCAGGTCATAGTTTTTTTTATCCACTCATTGACTGATGGCTAATTTGGGCTGCTTCCAAATCCTGGCTGTTGTAAATAATGAAGAAAAAGATGCATACATTTTTTTCGAATTAGTGTTTTGGGTTTCTTTGGCTCTATATACTTAGAATTGGAATTGCTGGGTCATAAGGCAGTTCTAGTTTTTTTTTTATTTTTTGAGGAGACTCCATACTGTTTCCCACAATGGTTACACCAATCTGTAGATTTAATATTACTTAGGGCTGTTAGGCACAATTTAGTATCAATCAAAACTTTGGAATAAA